CAGTTTTTATAGTGTTCTAGATAATCAAAGATATGCTAATGATAGAAGTGAATTAGAATATTCTAAATTTGAAAAACCTAGTCAAATCAAAAAGATTAACTCTGTTAAATCTAGCAATGCTTATAACAATTTTTCAATCAAGAAAAGTGTGTGATAATGTACAAGCTAGAAAGACATATAACAAGAATTATTTCTATGATCATAAAAAGAAAAAGTCTAACATGAAGCATATTTGATTTTATTGTAATATCATAGGTCATACCTCTAAAACATCCTATATTAAAAAAAATTGGTGTACCTAGTGGTAATTATAGAGAAAGGAAGTAACCCAGAAGGACCCAAAGAATATTGGGTACCTAAAAAGAACTATTAATTTTCTTATGATTATGTACTTGAAAATCATATGCTAACAATATCATATAAAGTTTAGTTGTTCAAATCACAAAGAAAAACAAGTAGTATTGGTAAGATTACGTCTGAATTTTAAAATAATTCAAAAATCTAAGATATTTCAATTAATATTGTGAAGAAGAATTTATGGTTCAAAATATGTGGTTTGATTGGTGCTATAATTGTCATATTATTAATTGATATTCAAGAAGAGTGTGTAACTTTACCCCGTGGATTAATTTTTATTAACATGGATTGTATTATTTCCTTATTCCCTAGGTTATTATACACAAGACAGTGGAAGTTTCTAATTGTTGTACAAATTGCAATATTCAAAAATATTAAAGCAATTAGTTAAGAAACAATAAATTTCAAATGATGTTTGACTATATATAAAAAAAGGGATGATTGTGAAAAATAGTATCTCCTAAACTTTGGATAGGGTTTTGATTAAGACAAATACATCAATAAAAGAAGAAAATAATACAAACACATCAATAATACAAAAGCTTATGCGAAATGTATTAATCTTTAAAATATCATGATTTATCTCTTATATCACTTAAAAGTTCAAAAAATATCACATAAACATAAACTAGTATGTTTCTAAAGTTAAAGCATAGAAACCATTGAAGCAAAACCTTTAAAATAAGAATTTTTCAACAAAAAAAAACAGTAATCAATTACTTGATTCTTATAATCAATTACCACTTTGCAAATTGAATCTTTAAAATAGAAGCATCTGATAATCGATTACCATGTTTGTTTAATTGATAACCACCTGAATGTATGCATTTTTTTCATGTATTGGTGCATTGGGAAAGGTACATAATAGTCCATGGTTCCTTTTTAAAGTGTTTTTTTTTGCTTCATGGAGGTTTTTATCATAGTCGTCTCAAGTTTCTTAGAGGTCTGTGTAGATTAGTCGTAGTTTAACCATGGAAATACATAAAAATCATATTTAACCATAATTTAACTGTTATAAATATTTTATGAGGTCCTATTTACTCATGGGTTAAATGTGACAAATTTGGGGTCCTATGCGGTAGTCTGACTTGCATGTTCTCAAAGAGGATCTTGGTTTCTATGTGTGTGTATAAATGTTATTTTACAACAAAAATGATTTAACAATGTGAACAACTTAAAAATCATATTTATAAAAATCATCATATCACTTTCGAGTGATCATCAATTCTCAAGGTTTTTGAAACTTTCCAAACTTCTGGAGGCTAGAAAAAATTTCAAAGCCAAAATGGATTTTGAGCATTTTATGGGTATATAATTTAAAGACGATATTGATAAGAATCAACAATCATAATTTGGATATGATTATTGTATAGCCTACATAAGTTCACATTTCTCAATAAATTAAGGGTAATTTGCTTCTCCTTAGTGTGTGGTGAAGATCTCGATATTGTTTGGTGATTGCGGAAAAGTTTCTTTGAGTTAGGGTGACTCAAAGTCCACCATAGTGTTTGATATTTGTAAAAAGGAAATGGTGTGCTTTCTTGGTTGGGAGATAGGTGTTTTTTAGAGTGGTTGATGTAAGAATTGTAAAGAGCATTTGATCATAATAGAAAATCTTCTGAAAAGATAAAGGGACTAGATGTATCCTTAAGTTGGCAAGGGGAACCAGGATAAGTATCTCTCACTTTACGTTCTGCACATAACTTTGTATAGTTTTTGAACAAGTTAAATCAGTGTTTTAAAAATCAGACCAAACTGGACGGTCGGACCAGTCGAACCGGGAACCAGAGAGGTCATCGGTCTGGTCAGATTATTGAATCGGATATTCTATTGAACCAGTGGGAATCAGAAGTTAACGCATAAACTCAAAAAAAAATATAACAAACAAATTCAACCCCCCCCCCCTTATTAAATTGCATATAATATTTGCAACAGTCATTTTCAAGAGATTTTTCAGTGTTGCTTCATGTATCTGTCATGCCCCTCATAGGTCGACTGCGATTAAAACTAGCTTATCACAATCGTTGTGATACTTCATCTTCAAATGGACAGGGGAAGTCAGTGCGTCTAGCATTATTAGGAATGGTCTTTCGAGAATACCATTGTAAACACTTTCGCAAAAATCACAAAGAAGAAAACATTCATAGTTCTCTTATTTCTCCCTTCTCTCAAGAAAATTTGTAGATCTATATGTCCACATGGACGAGTGGAAGAATCGATTAACGTTAGGAGACTATAAACTTCACATGGTTACATGTCTTGCTTGCTTAAGCCTAGCTCCACGAGCTTCCGTTATCAACGGGGATTCTTGAGACATATTGATTAGTTATGAATATTTAGCAAAATTGTTACGTTAAGAATTTCGACCACTTTTTCATGGTCTTGAATCCCTAAGATTGACCAATTATTCTTTTGTCTCTCTATTAGAGACATTGAATTTGAAAGAACTTTGTGGTTGATATTCTTTCTTTTTGAGCATATCTCCACCGATCGCGTCTATGATGAAATCGAAGATAATTGGAAAATTTCAAAATTCTTTTGGAAGTAAGATCAGAAGTTTTTCTTTCCATCTCAATGTAATTATTACAACAATTGCGGTTTGAATAAAATATTAACCTCCTTCTAAAAATTAGAAGAAACTAAAACTCAATTCACATATATAGTGTCATTGTTCCATTACAAAACCAAAACTATTGGTGAATTGATGAGATGAAATCTTGATCTGATAGTGGAGATCTCTAAAGTGATAGCATGGAATGGACTTATAAAATTAACACTTTAACTTCTAAATAGGTTTTTTTCAAATCACCTTATATTTACCGATTCCAAAATAATCAGTCAACGAGGTGTTACAAAACTTTACATTAACTCCCAAAATATTCAAGCCATCTCAACACAACTTTACATTAATACTTCATCGAACACTTGAGGTGTTACAATGAAAATTGCTGTTGCACGATATCCAATGAAAAAACTATTAAAAATTGAAAAAACATATTATAGTATATAATTAATGGTTTCCTAATGTCTTTTTAAATTATGTGGGTCCTTTTAAAAGGCGTTTATATTACTCATTCACTTGGGCTCTGATTGAAAGAGAAATAAGACTTTCAAATTTAAATATTTATCCTTCTACTGTCTTTCAAAATCTCAAACTTTTTTTTTCTTCTATTGTCTTTCAAAATCTATCCCCTTCAAACTCACAATATTAGCTCGGTGATAAAAATTACGAATTTCAATTGTCTACTGCATCCTCTACCTTTTTAACTTTTATTAGCAATCAGAATCAAATTTATCTTATGATCAAAATAGTGCTATGTGTCTTGTGTTTTTCTATAAGATAAATAAATAAATAATAAAAAGAATTGTTTCAAGCCATCTATTACCGCAACTTCTGATATCTACTTAGGATAATTCATTAAAAGTAGAGGTTTAGAAATAGAGCTGACAAACAACCACATCAATTCAGCAAAAACCTAAAAAAATAGAGGTGACAAGCATTCGCGTCTATCCAACAAAAACCTTTTAAAAACAATTAAACGGAACAACCATGTCTATTCAACAAAAATCTAAAAAAAAAAAAACAGATAGAACAGACATAATTAAAGATATAGATCTAAAACCTAAATCCATCCTAAAAAAAATAGATGGGACGAATAAAGTCCAGAGACACTACCCCTTCCTAAAAGGCAAATTTATATAAATATTTAAATCAGCAAAAACCCAAAAATTTATATAAACACAATTGCGAGAACCAAAAACCAAGACATTTGTGGTTGAATCAGCAATTCTATGGTTTAAGACGATGAAAGCTTTTTTTCATTTCATATTTTCTTTTGGGAAATTTAAGACACGTGGCACCATGTAAAGCCTGAGATAGATAGAACGTCTTAGAACGGCTGAAAGGCAAGGGTGCAGTAGGCACCAAATTTCCCAAAAACTGTGGTTAATAGAAGTAATTAGTACCGTGTATTGAACGAATTTCCCACTTCCCCAATTTTAAAAAAAAAAATTGTAAAATTAAAAATGTTAAAACTAAAATCTTAAAAAATAGGACCAAAATTATTATCATTGCAACACAGAAATTGTTTCAAGCGAGCCGTGTAAAAAATCCATAGAATTACTGCAATATAGACTATGGTCTTAAAAAATATTTTTCACCTGATACCAAAGGAACTTTGAAACAACAAAACTCGTATATAAGAAAGTAGGGGGCGGTAAAAAAGGGTGTGGAAAGATAATATAAGAAAGGAAATGCAGCATAAAATGAGTTGCAAAAGCACAAACATTAAACAAACCAGAGAAGTCAGGATTAAAATACCAGCTTTAAATATATTTGAAGTTTTTTATTTATATTAAATAAACTGAACTTACAAGTCGTATTAAGCCCATTCTCCATTCATGCAGAACAGAGTGTGACCTATACGCGATATACTACCTTCCATGACATGCTCATGCACAAACATATGCAAAAATAGAAGAAATGAAATGTGAGGGAACAGATGCATGGAGTGTCTGAAAGCGCATTTCTAGGGGAATACGAGAATGCCATTTCATTTTATTTCCTCGCTCAAAATGATGCAACAAAAAAGGGGAAGAAATTGAAAACCTGATGGATAAAAAGCATAGAAATAGAAATTGTCTCAATGTGTACTTTCAGGAGAATGATGTATCCGGCTAATTATTAGCGACTCAGACTCATTTGAACCAAGCATCAAAGCATCACAAGCTTTGGGAGACCCATCCTCAAAAACTAAGGGATTACCCTTTGTGTCACCAAAACCCGGTTTTTCATCCGGATATTGGGAAAACCCAGTAACTGTGGCTTCGATATTCATACTTTTACACTCTTCTTCATGCAAAGTGGGGTCCAACGGTGCTTCACTTTTTGCTGCAATGGAGTGTTTGTCCTCAGCATCCCCTGAATTCAGCTGATCAAATGTGACTTTATCCTCTTCATTTGGCAAAGCTGCTACAGCTGCTTCTTGGTTCTTGGGACCAGATGATGGACTAGACATGTCTATCTTCATCGAAGTATGGGTACAATCACCATCTTGCTCCATTGGACTGCAAGTTTGATTGATCTCTTCCAACTGCACCTTTGCAGGAGATAGAGTTTCGACTTCCCTTGGTTGTAATACAGGTGTTGGCGCATCTTTTGTTGCATCAGAAGCTGAGACAGAAACTTGCCTATTCTCCAAACTTAAAATAGGAACTGACTCGTCCATTTGAACCTGGTTGGCCTTGGATGCCGCAAATATATCTACATCCCCCTTACTAGGTAGTTTCACCCTATGCTTCTTGTATAGATCCATGGCTCTCTGCAGATTGAAAAAAACACCCACCCATCAACAGTCCAGCATTTCAGTATTTATGTATTCAAAGAATTGAAGTCAGCAAATGGATAACTTCAGGAAGGTGTTCAGGATGACAATACTTTGCGGATAAGAGAAGAATGGTCATATAGTTAGAAGTCTAGAGGAAACAAGAGCATTCTTGTATATTTTAGTAGTTTTACCTGGAAGATAGAATTATCAACTACTGGAAGAGTGTCAGCGTATTTCTGTTGTGCCCTTGAACCATTCTGTCAAGTCACGGGAAAGGAAACACTGATAATGTCAGATTGCATTGCATTTTATAATTAAAAAATAGATAATAATTTAAATAAATACACAAGGTCAGCCAAATAACCAAATAGAATTTACTTCTCAGGAGATTAAGTAATATTCAGACCAAACAACAACTAATTTTTGTTGGGGCTTTAAATGTTTTGGAAGAAAATGAAGGAAAGCATGAAAGTTTTCTAGTAATTATACCTTCAAGGATAGGTCCGTACTAGCAACAACATCATTGGACACTTTCTTGTCAACATTCAGAGCACAAACACACTGGTCATACAACTCTGGCAGTACTAGGTCTTCTGAAATGTCAAGTTTGGAAAGGTAGAAACGGGTAAAAAGAGAAGAATTGTCTTCAGGTGTCAAAGTATCAGGCACCTTTTCAGAGTCAGTTGTGGTCAAGGAGTTCAAAGGTACTTTTCTTGGAGACCTAACACTGGACAACTTTGTTTCAGGAGATTTTTCATGAGATTCATCATGCTTGTGTTCATCCTGAGACGGCCGGGTAGTCTGGTGAGGTACATCATTGTCAATAAGGGCAGGAACTGATTCATCTTTGCAGGCTGGTGAAGGCAAGTCTTTCTTTGAATCACTATTCTGTTCTTTCCAATTCTCTGAACCAGACTCCCATCCATGGCTATTTGTTGGGTGCCTGCTTCTGTCCCAATCAGAACCACCATACATATGAGGATCATCTCTGGAAATCCCATTATTGTTGTTATCCCATCCATGCAGATGAGCAGGACCTGTACCATCCATCAAATTTGGCCACACAAGTGGGCGCAAGTGACCTGGAAACCTGTCAGCATCAGCAATATGGTAGGGAATACCAGCATGGTTGACATCCAATGGAGCCCTAACGCCAAAGAGAGGTTGAGATGAAAACTGTGGCATCATTGTTTGAAAAGCTCCATGACCTGGTCCAGGTGGGAAGGGAACAAATCCATTTGGTACATGTGATGTCCAGTTTGGAGCTGCCCTCCAGGAATTGCCTCCGTGCCCTCTTACAAAGGCAGGTTCATTACTTCTCCTGTATCGTGTATTAGAGTTATCTCTACCATCATCCTCTAAAGAACTCATATAGGGTCTGTCTAGTGCAGATCTGAAACCATGCGGGGGAGGAACTGCTGGTAAATTGTTCTGATTCCTACCATAGAAAGTATTGTCTGCTTGAGAGGGCTCGTCTAGTGATTTCTCTAGAGTCAACTCACGGCCAAGTCTATCATCTGAAGAGACATCTCTTGCATCAGTACTGCTCCTTCTTCCACTTTCGTCAATTTCAAGATTCCGCTTAACACTTTTATTCATATATCTGCGTTCAATGCTTGTTGAAGGAGGAGATCTTTCCATCAAGCCCATTGGCGAAGCCTTGGCACTGGAAGACCTTTCAGTTGCCAAGTCTCCTGCAGGACATTCATCTATTTTAATGGGTTTCTCCATTAGTCTGTATTTAGGGCCTCTATCTGAAATCCCGGAGTAACCATCTCTTGAGGATTTGGTTCTCTGTTCTATAGTGTCTCTATACTTCATATCATCAGCATTTGCATTTCTGAAAACGGGAAAAATAGCAAACACAATTATAATTAATAATAATGGTAGCAAAAATGCAATTAGACCTAATCATAAAATTTAAACCGTACTACGCAATATTTCAATCGTCACCAACAAACTCATGTTACACTTCCCCTTTTGGCAAAGCAAAGCTAAATCACACGACAAATCTTTATTTGCCATTATACAACACCTTCAAAAACACGAGGCCAAAAAAAATGCACAAATCAAAATTGCCAAATGTCACCTGAAAAGTACCGACACTGCAAAGGAAATATGAGCCTACAAAGTTACAACAAAACTTTCAAGAAAATTAAAAAGTACCTATATTCATCTTTTCCAATATGTGCATTGGATGCAGGAGAAGATTTGTGTTTACTGCTAGTTCCAGTTGAATCTGCATGAGCTTGTCGAGGTAGAGACCTTCCCCTGTCAATATCAGAATCAGCCCTACTGCTGGTCAAACTCCTCTTCTCTGTGTCGGGATAGTAGCTTTTAACTGCTCTAGCTTTAGAATCACTATAATCATCACGATCATCCAACGTCCTTTTCTTTGTTCCACCATCTTTGCCTCTTCCACTTCTATCATCCCCATGTGACCCATCACGGTCGCGATGACGATCACGGTCTCTGTCTCGTTCACGGTCCCAGTCCCATTCTCTATCTCTATCTCTGTCATAATCATGATCCCTGTCATAATCATAATCATGGTCACGTTCATGGCGGCGCTCACGATCACGAACAACATATTCAAAATCACGATCTCGTTCTCCCTCTCGATCACGATAATGGTCCCTATCGCTCTCTGGATGCTTGGTTCTCTTTGGTCGTGATTCTAAATTATTCTTTTCTTCCCTTGCATGTTTATCATCAGACCTACTAGTAGTATGGTCTTTTGCTGGACGCTCGTCACGTTGCTTGTCATGTCGATGTTTGTTCTCCTTGTCCTTTTCCTCCCTATATTTGTCTCTATATTTTTCATCATTTCGTCTATCATCCTTTTTCTTTCCATCCTTGGCAATGTCATCCCTAGAAGATAGATGTCTGTCATAACCATCTCCGACCTCATCTTGAATCTTATCCCCATCGCCATAGCCATCTCTTTTCTTCCTCAATCGCCTCTCAAGCTGGATATCTTGTTCAGGGCTTCGCAACTCGTCTGTTTTTTTGGAATCTGCAAAAATAATTGAAGACAAATAAAATCAACAACTTCCTTCTGACACGCAGTCCAAGAAAAACATTGAATCATATGGAAAGCATTACAAAAAAGAAAAAGAAAAACATTAACTGACACCGTTTTCAGATGACAGATTGCAGGGCAACACAATTGCAACAGCACATAAAAACTATCAAAAGCGAACATGACAAGGTGTAAAATGATATCTTGCTATGAATAAAATTAACTGTAATTATGATATATCATATGATTTTAACAAAAGGATTGAAAGGAATTGGAAACATTACACAATTTCACTATCTAAATATTGTGTAGAGATTATACTAAAGCTTTCTGTATTTAAAATTAAAGTAGGTATGTTTGAATCACTTTTTCTTGCAGCTACTTCCCAGAGAGAGTAACATGAAAAAGAATTACCAAAATAAGCAACACTGATTCATACCACACGAATAGAAGGTGATCTATGATAGAAAAAGAAATATGGGAGGAAAGAAACATTCCTGTAATAAAACACTTAAGAAAGGTGGAATGACAATCTGAAGAAACAAGTTTTCAACGTATAGCAAAAAATCAATTGTACTAGAACAGTTAAAAAGATTCACTCAACGGCGTAGATTCAAAATTCAACAATAATGAGACAACAAAATATGCAATAGACATAATGCAGCATATAAAACATTGATCATTTCAGCAATTAATTCATGAATTATTAAGAAGATTAAAAGATCACAAAAGAGAAGAAATTATAGGAAGAAAACTTTGTAGCATGCCAGCGACATAATATTACAAAACAATTGAATCATTCAAATTTCCATATGTGGTCATCTCAATTTTTCTATATGAACAGTATTGAGGTCTACATGACATAATTTACCGGATACAATTTTGATATTATGTTTAATAAACATCGCATTGGATCTCTAATATAGTAAATTTGTTTAATTACCAAAAGATTTACCCATAAAAACCAATGACCATCAGCCATTGAGGAAAACGTACTTATTTCATTTTAAATCTCCGGGTTAATGATTCCAAATTGCTTTTAACAGACAATCTATGTCAAATTAGAAAATACTCCATGTCATTAGTGCAAGCTTTGCTTACTTGAGCGATGGTGTCTAAACAAAGAGTTTGCCACAGGTACAACACAATTAATATAGGATTAAAATTATTTTCTTTTATTCGCCAAAAAAAGATGGACATGGTATGAGAGAAAAATAGATAATGCACTTCTGATTGTACAAGTACTACCCAACTTACAGTATGATTGGACCCCTTCACAGTAAAATTTTATCTCTCATTCAGTAAAGGTTATCATGTGATTCAGAATAAATTATGTAGTTAGCAGCTGATTGCAGAGCGATGCAGCCAACCCTCAACATTATTGCAGTGAGGCGGTGGAAGTTCAGCTGCTTTGCCGAACCTTAAGGAAACAATATAAGCAATTCTTACCCTACACTTACAATAGCTTAAAAATAGAATAATACAAAAGATAAAACACATTTTCATAACTAACAGTCAAAGCTCAATGTTCCTAATTTTCAAACCAAAGATAAAGCAAATTAGCAAATACATTTTAGCCTCCAAAGCTAAAGATTATAATAATTCGTCTGTGTGTTTACAATAAATACATACAAGTGATTTTTTAAATCAGTGAATTTCTAAGAATCACCATCTCCAAATGGACAAAAATAATTTAAAAAGGCTTTGAGTGCAGGACATATTTTGGTATTTCAAAACTTCCTTCTAGTTGTGGCTGTGGCCACAACAGTGAGTGCTACAACCTCTACATTAAAACACAACACAATAGCATTCTCTGTGGTGTGCAGATTCCACTAAGCATCACAATGATGCAATTGTGGCAGCTGTAACCGCCGTTTACTACAAAGAAAAATAAGAGGACCAGACTCTACTTATACTCCTGAAACATGGGGCTTTTATAACTTATACTCCTGAAACCTGGGGCTTAATAAAAAGGTCTGTTAAAAGAGGGAGTCTAATTATATTAGTGGTATTTCAAAAAGAATATCATAAGGCGTGAAATTGGTGGAATGACCTGAACATTAATACTAATATCAACAAACAAAATGGAAGGAATAAGTATAGACCCCATTAAGTATATAAGGCAGTGGATCATAAGGAGGGGAAAACATCAGTTTGTTAGCCTGACCACCTATATGAGAAAAATCAGAAATTGGTATTGGATATTGAAACTAACACTATTATCATTAGCAGCAAGAAAAATCGGTCAAAAACAATTGCAGAACTATTACAAGCTTTGTTTTTGTTCCTAATTCATAATATAACACACACAAAGCTTTCAACTTGATACCGATACCGATTCCAGTGTGAGGCTGGTAGTTCTAAATAAGAATTAAGAAAGCAAAATGTGATTACTTTTAGTTCAAAACAAATAATAAATGCAAGAGCAATCAGCACAGACATACCACAAATGAATTAAAGTATTCATACCATTATTTTCAAGCACTTGCTTGGATAAGCGCTGCTCTTGGTCATCACCAGATTCCTCGATTCTGCCTTCTTTAAACTTCCTATCCTTTTCCTTCTCCTTCTCCAAGTTCTCCTTCCGACCAGTTGATGAAGAATCCTTATGCTTCCCACTGCTCCTCTTCACCTCCTCACCCTCACCGTGACCTCCCACACTCCCATCCCTCTTCTTACTGCTCTTGGAATCCCCAATGGCCTTCGATTTCTTCGACCCATCGTCACCACCATTCCACCTATCTCCTCCTCCACTCTCCTTGCGCCGCTTCGAGGAAGAACCATACTCATCAGAAAACTCACCGTTCCCGTGCACATCCTTCGAATCCAATCTCCGCTTCTCAACAGAACTCGAATCTTTCACAACCTTGGCAGAACTCTCCCTCTCCTCCTTGCTCTTCCGATCTTTGACGCCGGAATCCTTCTCGGAGTCAGAGTAGTCCCTCGAACTATGCTTACTGGATTTATGCTTCGAACTTCGCGGCATCGCGGAAGCAAAAACCCCAAACCCTATTCTTGAAATTCAAATCAAACGAAACGCACCAAATCCTCGAAACCCTAATTTGACGGAATTAACCAATAAGGTGAAACCCTAACAGAAAAACAAATTAGAGAAAGAGAATATCCACCGGAGAAAAACAACCGGAAAATAGATCTCCGAGATCGAATGCGACCGCGAAGAAGGATTCGGGACGGTTAGGGTTAAATGTGGAACAAAACATATAAATGTTGAGTTCAACAGTAAAGAAGAAAAGCGCAACAAAATCCAAAACTCGAAAAGTTTCTCTCTCTCGGAATGAGTGAGTTTGTGATTTTAGTTTTCTTTTTTTTTTTTTTTTTGCTTTATTATCGGTGTTAATGAGACTTGGGGAGGACCTTGGGTGAGAAGGATAATGGGTAATTGTGTTGACGAAATTACCCTTTTATATCTTGAGTAATGACAGTGGTGTCCGTGTGCGGCGCGAGTTTTGTGTTTGGTTAGGTTACGGTGTGCCGTCCAATGAGAAATTAGACACGTCGTTTCAATTAAATCTCCTTTAAACCAATTTATCTTCTACTCCTCCAAAAACTTATTAATTTTGCAAACTATTTTTAAATAATCTTATACATATGAATGATTTTGATGATATATATAATATATATATATAATCACCCTAAACATGCATAATTCACAATATAAAACCTTTACACCGATAATCTAATTATATTTGAATACAAAAATATTTTATTTAGTTTATTTTTAAGAAGATTTAACAATTTTAGTGAAGTTTTTCTTCTAGACGTACTAAAATTTATTTCACACGCAATAATCAAATTTAAAACCTTATTTTAAAAAATTTTGTTAAATTTTGCTTCGATCAATGTATTTGCAATCAATGTAAATATAACAAAAAGCAATTTATGTTTAAATACATCTGAAGTTGAAACGAAAGATACACGGTATTTAGAATGTTTTAGATTTTTTTTGAAGTTTTAGCAGATAAGATGTGATCGTCATAGTGGGTTTTTTTAGTTTTTAACTAAAATTATAATTTATTCTATATAAAAAAAATTCAATGAATCTGAATCGATTACAGCAAATCAATTGTTGAAAATGTATATCTTGTGTATTTGTGTTAAGAGTTTTCAATTTTAAATTGATTTAAATTAAAATTGAAATTGATTCGCAAAAAGATATAAGATTGAATATTTTGGAATCTATTTTTTGTAAAATTGTTAGGATTATATATTTCATTTATTTTTCAAAAATTGAATTAAACATTTTTTATTAGTATGATATATTATATCAATCTATCTTTACAAAGAATGTTGTATTAATCTATTGATTTGTATTGCTAAATTTGTACAGGGTTCATGAGAAGTGATTGGGAAGGTAGATAACATTTTGTCTCGCCATAAAGTTCTCTTAAACACTTGTCTATTGGATCAACCGTCCATTTAACAAATGTGTCATCCTTATTTTGGATATGTCGCCTTCCTCTAGGAAGAGTCTTACAATGGGTGGGCCATATTCTGTAACGGTACAGAATGAGACATTTGATCATATTTTCCACAATAATAATGGACTAACTGTCTCCTCTCATATCCTCTCAGTGACAGTTTCTATTTTAAAGGGGGTTAAGATTCAAGCCTGGCACCGCCATAAATACATTAACACTAAAGTAGAGAAGGGCAATCACATTCTGATACAAAAAACCATATACACATAGTTTCTCACCCCTTAAGTGAGTTATATCTAATCTTTACGACATACCTTAAAACCTTCAACAACCCTTTATCATTAGGGGTTGTCACGTATTGTACTTTTTTGCAAGTGCAATTGGTGCCCACCGTAGGGCCTAGTAAAACTTACTTGGGCCAACGCAACATTATCATGTCGGATCATTTTCCTCGCATTCAACCTCTATTATTGTCATGGTGAACAAAAGGACAACAACTTCAACCAACGAAGACATCAAAGGCTAGGTTAGTGTCATAGCAGATATGTGCGATATTATGGACAATTTATGTCGCTAGAACCAAGCTTTGAAGGATAATGTCTTTCATATCCAACAATACAAACAGGAGGTAGACCCCTTAGATGAGGTGGAGATGTTAGACAACTAGACTCTTTTAGACATGATATGGGATGGGCTCGTTCTAGAGAACTTTAACCTTCATTCATTGGCCAAGTTTGATAGGTGCAGCAACCCATATGAACATGTCATCTCCATCAACGCACATGTTGAAGTTGCATGTCCCTAATACATTTAAGGGGAGAACCCCAGTACAATTTTGTTGCTTGTCCTGTCACTTAAGTTGCATGTCCCATAATTCAACTGTTATATTTGAGCTTGATCGTGATAATTTTATTCAATTGGTCGAGTTAGTGGAACAAGATCCATATTTACCGTTGATTCAGGTTAAGTTTAAAGGAAAAACTCAAAGTATTTTTAAAATTATGAAAATTGAGATTTTATGTGCATGACTTGAATCATGTACATATTCTGGCTCGAATCAAATTAAATAGAGGCAAACATAAACTTTTCAAAACAAGTGAATCAAATCACACTTTTAACTTGATTCAAATCAGGTAGCCTTGTGACTTGAATCATAAGTTCTACTTCATTCGAATCAGGCAGATATGGACAACCTCTGGCTTATTTGATTTGAATCACACTTTCTACTTGACTCGAATCACACAGTTTATTACATTTCTCTATTTGAATTTGTCCAAATTGACTCGAATCAGAATTTGTACTTAATTTTAATCACGAGCTTTCATGACTCGAATCAGAGTTATAAGGTGGTTTGAATCACACGAGAAATGGGTCAAAAAATTTATGCTTTCTTATTCCACTTCACTTGCTCATTTGACTCAAATTATGAAATGTTCTTGACTCGAATATAACTAACGTTTTCCATCCATATTTGTGTTTAATCTCAAGCACATATAAATTCATTTTGTCATCTTATTTTCAAAAACATAATTTCCCAATACATTGTGATTTTCTGAAATCAACACCTTCTCATTTTTAAAAACTTAAAACTCTTGCGAATAAAAATTATTTTATCTTTAAACTCTAATTTTGATTTTAGATCTTGATAATGAGAGTTTTGTAATTGATCGAGAAAGACGATATATTTACACCGACAAAATAATTATTATGTTTGAATACAAAATATTTTATTTAATCTGTTTTAAAGAAAACTTAACCATTTTAGTGGAATTTTTCTTCTAGACATACTAGAATTTATTCTACACGCAACAGTCAATTTTAAAAATTTGTTTAAGAAATCTCAGTCAATGAAAAATAATTTATGTTCAAATATATCAAAAGTTGAAACGAAAGATACACGGTATTTAGATGTTTTAGATTTTTTTATTATATTTTAGCAAATAAGATGTAACAGTCATAATTGTTTTTTAGTTATTAACTAAAATTATAATTTATTCTATATAAAAAAAATCAATGAATCTGAGTCGATTACAACAAATCAATAATTAAAATTTTGTATCTTGTGTTTTAGGTGTATTTAGCCTTGAGAGTGTTCAATTTAAATTGATTTAATTTAGAATTGAAATTGATCCGGAAAAGACATAAGATTGAATATTTTGGAATTTAGTTTTGTAAAATTGTTCGGATTATATATTTTATTTATTTTTCAAAAATTGACTTAACCTTTTTTTTATTAGTGTGATATATTGTACCAATCTATCTTTTCCAAAGAATATTGTATTAATATATTATTTTGTATTGGCATATTTGCAAGGGGTCCATGAGAAGTGATACGGGAGGTAGATAATGTTAGAACACAGATTGATTCTTAATAATATCTCTATGTTTTGATGATAACTATTATGAAGTTTTGTAATTAAGAATTATATACTCTAAAATTTGCTTAAGAGTTTTTACTGCAGATACTAAAGTAATTGTCACTCCAGAAGCAAATCAGAACTGAACATAAGAAATATGCTAGACTCTGAAGCGGCAGATGCAACCATTAGAAGATTCTGAATGCTGCCAACAGAAGATCCTGAGCATAGTCTCCAGAAGGATCTGAAGCAAAAGCTCCAGAAAGATCTGAAGCAGAAGCTCCAGAAGAATCTGAAGCAAGTCAGAAGCATCTGAACCAAAGAAGAATTATGTATGAAGAGTTTTCAAAGCATAGTTTCTACAGAAGATTCTGAAAGTACTAAAGCTGCCAGTACTGAGGATCTGACTCAAATATGCTCTGAACTTATACACGCTAAAAGCACACCTGCTGCAAAGACTCTGATTCAGCAAAACTCTGATCAACAACAGAAGGCTCTGATCAAATTAGACTCTGATGAATCTTGCTGAAAAATGAAGAAGAAGAATTCAAAGATTATGTCCGTTGGAATAATCCAAACGACTCTTTCCTTATTTATGCTAGACACAAGAACACAAACAAAAAGGATTTCTCTGTGCTTTTTTCTTTTAGGAAAGGTCACTTGATGTGAAGACAAAAAGGCTCAGACCTTTTGGACATTCTTCTCAACGTGAAGTTCCCTTGGATCAAGCTGCCTATAAAAGCAAGACTTCACCCATCTTCTTTAGTTGACGTTTTATTTGAAAGAAATCAATATTCAAAGCTCTCATACTATTCACATTCTTTCTTAGAATTAATTTCTTTGTTCTTAATATTAAGTGAAAAATCACAGTTGTGATAAAGCTTTTTAGAAGCAATTTAAACACTTGTATTTGTTATTACATTTGATTGTAAGAAAACCTTAAGAAGATCTAGTTAGGATCAGTAGTTCTTGAGAAGACTCTGAACAGTTATTCTTAGTACTTACTATTGTAATCAGTTGATTAAATAGTGGATTAAGTCCTTGATTAAGAAAGACAAATCACTTTAGGAAGGGTGGACTGGAGTAATTGAGTTTAACGAACCAGGATAAAAATACTTGAGTTTTTATTTCTAAGTTTTTATCTTCATACTTATTCAACCCCCCTTCTAAGTATTTTCTCACCTTCAGTT